TTTTTTCTTCCAACATCCGCCTGTAGGGGGACATGCCCGACCTAACGCTAGCGGTCGTGCGTTTTTTCGCCGGCACGGTGCCCACGGGTGCGGCACGGGGAGACGAGGTCCCCGAGCGCGAGCGCGGTCACCCCAGTGCGGTTGCAGCACTGGCGGAGGGTGGCGCAGGGTGGCGATCCAGCGCGGAGGAACGCAGGCACAGGCCACCGCGCACAGGACAGGAAAGAGGCCAACAGGCGCTGCCGGTTTTAGGTCGGGCGTGTCCCCCGACAGGCGGGTTTTGGACGACACATGCAAAATACTCTAAAAGTATTTGAAAAAGGGTTAAACATAGTCAAACAATCGTCCCTCGATTATTTTTTGACTATTTTGGAGATTCCCCCTTTAGAGGGACAGGGCCAACAGGAGCTGCTGATTGCGGAGCCCTGGCCTCGAGGGCCGCGGGTCCAGGCGGACTCGAGAGGGCCCCGGGGCCTGGCTCCCCTGCGGCGGGGTCGCGGGAGGGTCGAGAGCCCGTGGCGGGGGGGGGGGAGGGAGGGGAAGGGGAGGGGATGGGAGGAGACGAGGGCTGGAGGGGTGGAGGGTCTCTCCGAAGGGCTTAGGCGACCCGTCTTCCTCCTCCTCCTTCTTCTCCTCCTCCTCCTCCTCCTCCTCGTCCTCCTCCTCCTCCATCTCCTCCTCCCCCTCCTCCTCCTCCTCCTCCTCCTCCTCCTCCTCCTCCTCCTCCTCCTCGTCCTCCTCTTCCTCGGGTCGCCCACGACCCTGGGGGGAACCGTGCATGGAGGGGAGGGCATGGAGTTCGTGGAAGCTTGGGCAGGGTCTCCCCTAGCACGCTCTCGGGACGCACGTCCCCGCACAAGCGCTTGACTTCCCCGGGTTTGGCTTTCCAGCGGCAGGTGCCGGGGCGCCCACTAGTTCACAGCGCCGGCGTTCTCGCCAGGTCGTGGTAACCACTTGACGTGGATCCGACCTCGACTGCCCTTCTCTTGATGCTGGCTCGTTTCGGAGACGAGGTCCCCTGCCAGGGCCAGAAAGATTGCAGTAATACCGCGCGCTCGTGTGGTGTTCTGCGCAGCAGCCCTCGCCACAGCAAAACGCAGCACGCGAAGCCGAACCGTCTGTCTTGCGAGCCTGCGCGGGACTGCCAGTGCTGCCGCCGAGCAGAGACAGCCGCTTTGGGCGCTGTGCTGAAAGCACTCCCTGGAACGTCTTGACACTGTCGAGTGGCGCAGTCCAGCGCGCAAGCAAGCCGGCTACGCTGGGCTGGCTGCGCGTGTGAGTGGCCCTTCGCTGGAATGGTCCTCGGAGCGGGCCCACAGGGGGTCCGCCCCAGCACTGGCCTGCGCGCGTGGACCTGCCCCCCACCCCTCCCCCCAGCGGCCCCCTGAAGACGCACACCGAACGTCGGTGGTTCCAACATGGGGTCCTGAGGGACGGGGTCCTAAGGACGAGGTGCCGCACACAACGTAAGTCTATTCTTGGATCCCTCCCCATCTTTGGGACCCCATCCCTCAGGCCCCCACCTCTGAACCACCGAGGGCGTCACTCTTGCCCAGGGCCTCTCCTGTGTGCGTATGTGCAGCCGAGCCCTCTATCTTCCAACGCTGCACACATTCTTGTCGCGACGTGGGCCACCCCTGTGATCTTGACCACTTCCCCAGGGCCGTTTCGTCTTCTCCACATCCTCATCGACGGGACCCTGACGTCCGCCGACGTGATGTTTTTTTTTTTTTGTTTTCCACCCGCGGTCCCAGAACGTCCCGGCCGCTTCCCCGGGGCCAGTTCTTCGTCCCTGGTCTGTTTCTGACGGTCCCAGGGCCCGATAACAGGCCCCAGAGGCCGGCATTGAGAAACGTCCGCTGGGATTGAAAAACCATCTCGTCGGAGGTCTGTGTGTGCGTGTAGGAGAGAGGTTCCCAGTGGCCTGCAAACGGCCTCCAGAGGCCGAAGACTCAAAGCAACTGGTCCCCACGTTCTCTTGGGGGGGGGGGAATTTCAAGACGGGGGCGATGATATAGGAGGGGGTGGATCTCATGGCGGGAGCCATGAGATCCCCTCAGATATCATTAGGGGGATGAGCAGTGGCATGAACATAAAAACCCAGATGTAAGCGCGGATGTCTCGGATCGGCGCTGGACCGCCCTTGGCGCGCTCCGCGCGCCAGGGAGGGGGGTCCAGCGCCGATCCGAGAAGTCCGCGCGGACCTCTGAGTTTTTAGGTTTTATTGTTCGTCCCCCTAATCATGGCTCCCTCTCACCTCTCCTTGTTCCAAGACGCCCCCTGGTCTCCCCCGCGTCCGCGCACGTGCCTCGGGCCATGAGCTGCGAATCCCCCCCCCCCGTTTGGACGCTCCCCATATTGGACGCCCCCGGCTTAGGTGGCGCTCGGGCCTCTCAGCGGGGACGGAGGTTCGCCAGCGAACCAAGCAAAACCGACGACCTGTTCGTGCGTTGCGCGATGTGTGAACCGCAGCGCACGCGGGGGCTTCCTGTGTCTACAGTGATAAGAAGAGGTGGTTTTGCGCCCAGGCGTGCCCCCCTCAAAGCATCGTAATCGCCGGCCTGCTCCTGCAGCTCGGTGGGTGTGGGTGTGTGTGTCAGGGCGTGAGAATGGACCTGTTTTCAAGACAGTGGTGGGAGGTACCGAGGAGGATTCAGGGGGCTCAGAGGGCCTCAGGGTGGGCTTTGGGTGGGTCTGGGAGGTACGGGTTTTTTCCGCGGAGGAAATGCGGGATAAGATGGTGGTGATTAAGGTGCGGTGATGGTGACGATTGCGATGCTGCTGCTGCTGGTAATGCGGATGATGAGGATTATGATAGTGATGATGATGATTAGGCTGATGATGATGATGATGATGATGACGACGACGACGACGATGATGATGATGATGATGATGATGATGATGATGATGATGATGATGATGATGATGATGAGATGATGATGATGATGATGATGATGATGATGATGATGATGATGATGATGATGATGATGATGATGATGATGATGATGATGATGATAATGACAGTGGTGTTGTTGCTGGCGATGATGATGCTGATGATGACGATTACGATGGCGATGACGATCACGATGACGACAAGGATGATGAGGATGATGATGGGGCTGATGACGATGTTGATGATGCTGATGATCAGGTTTATGATGCGGTTGCTGCTGCTGATGATGATGGTGATACCGATGATGATGCTAATGTTGATGCTGATGCTGATGCTGCGGCTGATGATGATGCTGATGATGCTGATGATGATTATGATGACGATGATGCTGCTGATGATGATGATGATGATGATGATGATGATGATGATGATGATGATGATGATGATGATGATGATTATGATCATGATTATGATGGGATTGACGATAGTGATGGGAATTGCGACGATGCTGATTGTGGTTATGATGACGATGCTTGTGAGGGTGATGACGATGGTGGCGCTGACTGTGACAATGGGGTCGGCAATCAATGATGATGCCGATTACGACGGTGACGATTCCCAAGCAGATCTTTCTCCTGAGGGTTCATGGTCCTGTTGTGCCCCAAACAGGTCTGCACTCAGGGGCTCCTATTGGTTAGTTCAGCAGCTGGTTGGGCAACCCTGGGTTTTCGCCACGTTGCCGCCGGTGTCGTCTCGCCGGCGCCTCGTCGGCGTCCCCGGGCTTGGGGGGTATGCCGAGGTTGCGCCACGTTGCCGCCAGTGCCGCCTCGTGGGCGCGCCGCGCTGGGGGTGGGGTGTGCCGAGGCTGCGCCGCGTTGCCGCACGTGCCGCCTCGTGGGCGCCCCCTGGGCGCCCCGTGCGCTGGAAGGTATGCCAGGGTTTCGCCACGCTGCCTCTCCCGTGCCCCCTCGAGCGCGTCGTGGCCGCCCCGTGCGCTGAGCTCTCGTGGCGCAGTCTGCGCCACCTGGCTTGCACCACGTAGCTTGCACCACATAGCTTGCACCACACAGTGTACACCGAGCACATTACAGCACGCGGCTTACATCGCAAGCTTAGACCTCGCAGCTCCACCGCCAGTTCACACCGCCCAGTTTACACGACAAAGCTGCATCACACCTCCAAACGCACAGTGTGGGGTCCCCAGTGTGGAACATCTTCTTCAAGGATTTCACCACGGCAACTATTCCTTCAGATTTTGATCAGACGATCGATGCTGACGATCTGGATGCTTTCAGAGCCTTCGAAAGTCGTTTTCCTCTGATGACGTGATCTCTGAGGCTTGGAGGGATGGCCAGCGTGCTGCTCACAGGTCTGGCTGGCGCTCTGCCGCCGAAGGCATTGCTCGGACGGGCCCACGGAGGGTGCCCGACGTTGGCGCCTCGCGCCCGCCTGTGGCCAGCTCGTGGGCGCCCCGTGCCCGGGGTGGGCCCGCCGAGGCTTCGCCCCGCGGGCGCGGCGTGCCCGCCCGTGGGCGCCTCGTGGGCGCCTCGCGGGCCCTCGCGGGCGCCCCCCGTGCCCCGGGCGGGTCCGCCGGGGCCTCGCCCCGCGGGCGAGGCGTGCCGGCCCCCGGGCGCCTCGTGGGCGCCTCGTGGGCGCCCCCTGCCTTGGGCGGGTCTGCCGATGATGTGTTGCCCGGCGCCCCGCCCGGGGGCACCCCGCGGGCGCCTCCTGGGCTCCCCGAGCCCTGCCGTGGGCAGCGCAGCTTTTGCACAGCGCGGCTCGCAGCGCGCAGCTTCCACCGCACAGCCTGCACAGCGTGGCCCATGCAGCACAGGCCGCACTGTGCAGCCTACACCGCACAGCTCACACCACACGAATGGCGCAGCACCGCCTGCACGTCAGTAAGTCACTGTTTGGGGTCCACACTGGCCAACATGTTCCAGAAGGATGGTGCATATAATGATACGATGCTTCACGGGTTGGTGAGCATGGAATGCGGTCGAAAGTGTTTGATGCTGATGGTGACTATTACGGGGCGCGCGACGATGATGACGACATTGACGGTGACGATGAGGAGAGTGATAAGCAGGAGGATGCGCGCTGGCAGGGCGGAGTGCAGCGTCGAGCAGCTGCTGGACGACGAGGACTTCCTCAAGGACGGCCTGGCGGGCCTTTTGACCCGCTCCCCGTGGTCACCATGCCTTCACCCTTGCCTATCATCATCATTGTCAGCAGCAGCAGTATCATCATCACCAGTAGCATCACCACCACCATCATCATGATCATCATCATCATCGTGATCATGATCACCATCATCACCAACATCGTCATCATCATAAGCATCATCATCATCAACAACATCATCATCATCGTCCTCATCATGGTCAGCATGATCGTCATCACGAACATCATGATCATCACGGTCGTTATCACCGTCAACAGCAGCATCATCATCATCATCATCGTTTTTCTTGCTGCGTCTCACCCTCCACCTCCTCCTCCTCCGCCAGCTCCTCGCTTCCTGCGTATCTCCTCTTTTCCTCCTCCTCCTCCTCCTCCTTTTTCTTACTCTTCAGTGGTGTGGCGACAGGGGCAGGCCCTTGCTACGAGCAGCGCATGCCAGCCTCGCAGAGAGTACACGTATCAAACAAGCCTCTGCCCGAGGCCATTGGTTCCAGCTTCCGTGCTAGACATCTAGTGCTGGGCACTCTCCCCGTCAGGTCCGTGCCGTTCCTTTCCTCCTCCTCATCCATCCCCGCTCCTGCTCCCGCCCCCCTCCCGACTGAGTCGGCTTGGGTCGGCGTCACCCCAACATACTTCTAGTATATGTGCGTCGCCACCCCCCCCCCCATGGGCGACGCGCGCCCCGAAATATCTGATAGTACCTATACGACCACCCTTCGGGTGATAAGGAGGTTGTGTGTGGGGGGAGAGGGGGGGAACCAACATCTGACTCAATCGATCACTGTCGATCTCACTCAACGAGGCACCACGGGACACCACGGGACACCACGGGACACTTGTCCATCTCACTGTCGATCTCACTATCGATCTCACTCAACGGGACACCACGGGACACCACGGGACACCGCTAGGGCCACCGCCGGACGGAGGATAATCATTTGTCTTGACTTCGCCCTAGCAACGGCGAACACCACGGGACACCACGGGACACCGCTAGGGCCACCGCCAGACGGAGGATAATCATTTGTCTTGACTTCGCCCTAGCAACGGCGAACACCACGGGACACCACGGGACACCGCTAGGGCCACCGCTGGAAGGACGGAGGATAATCATTTGTCTTGACTTCGCCCTAGCAACGGCGGGTTCATTCCTCTCGCGCGCCCACGCGCAGCTTCGCCTCGCCCGCACGCACAACACGAACGAAACGAAACGATTTTTTTTTTTTCCGTAGCCATTTTGGCTCAAGTCCGTAGCCCTTTCGGGTCAGGACCTGGCCTCACTGGCAAGGGGGGAGCAGCGGCCCCCACAGTGCTCCTCCTCGTCTGCCAGGCCAGACGAGGGTTTTTGGCTTCTCCTGCTCTCGAGCTGCTGTGGCATGGTCCCCGCGCCCCCGCAGCCCCGCTCCCAGAGCAGACACCAGACCCGCTCCCAGAGCGGCTACAAGACGTGCTATGGCAAGAGCTCATGTGGCTATCAGTATAATCTGGTGGATTGGGCTCGCTGCTATCGTTGCAAGAAGTGGCTCCGCGACGACCCGGTTCGGGACACGGTCAAGGGGCCCCCCCGTCCTTGGACAGGCGAGCAGCAGTCCAAGGATGCATGGCAACAGGTGGAGTCCACGCGCCGCAAGGCCAAGTCGAGCCCAGGCACGAGTGCTGACCAGTCCCAGTCTGGGAGTGGGAAGGGCGGCTCGGCCCAACAGCGCAGTGGCAAAGGATCGGACGCAGGTGGCAAGCAGACGCAGCGCGACTACCTCGCGGCTGCAGTGGAGCAGCTCACGCTTGCTGGACTGGCAGACGACCACCCGCTCATGGTGGCCGCCAAGGCTCAGGTGCCCTCCGCTGCTGATGCTCAGCCTGACGAACGTGGCCCACCGCCATGGATGCGAGTTCGGTCCCATCAGGACAAGCTGGCCCACTTCCAGGGCCAGCTTACTGCGTCGAAGGCGACGGAGGCCAACCTCCGTCAACAGATCACGGAGCTGGAGCAGGACCTGGAGGACTGCGTTGCATCCCAGGCGGCTCTGGCGGAATCGGTCAAGAAGGAAGAGGAGGAGCTCCAGAGGCTCCATCGACGTGCTGCTCTTCACCCTGCTGGTGATGACTGCAAGGCGGCTGTCAACGGGCTGGTGGAGACGCTGTTCGGCCATCTGCCCGAGTCGTTCAGAGTGGCGAAGGCGGACCAGCTCCGCACCGCGGTGGACCTCCTGGGCGACCTGGCTGCTGCTGGGGCCTCTTTCCAGGAGCAGGAGGAAGCACGGCGGAAGGCACAGGCCGAGGAGGCCGCGCAGCGTGCCATGTCGGGCAGCGGCCCTTCGCCAGCCCCAGCGGCACCCTCGGACTCACGTGTGGCGGAGGATTGCAAGCAGCAACTTACTGAGTTGCTGGAGGGCGGACAGGCAGGGCAGTACGAAGGTCTCTACAGGACCATGCTCGATTTCCTGCAGAACCCTTCAGCCCTCAGCAAGAGGCCCAGGAGGGACGCGCCAGGCCCAGAGGCTGCGGCGGCGGCGGCCCCCTCGGCCGCGCCTGGCCCTGCGGCTGCTGATGTTCCTGCTGATGTTCCTATGCCTGCTGACCGCGATGTCGCTGGTGCCCCACCCCCGTCGGGGTAGCGGGGTCGGCGCTGCAGCTGCTGGACGCCGCCTGCCTGCGCCCGCCTCACACCGAGGCAGGTGGCGCTCCCTGGCGGCGCGGGCTGGGGCTACTGGCCATCGACGAGTTCGAGGCGAGAGTGTGCAGGAGGAGACTCCTGCGGTGCAGGAGGAGACTCCTGCGGCCCGTCGGCCTGAGGTATGGAAGCTGTGTACGGCCAACATCACCTCGTGGGGCATCGAGTGCGGGGACAGGGGTAAGGTCACGAGAAGGCCCTTCCTGGAGCTCTGCGACTCTGTGGATGCCGACATCTACGTTTTCCAAGAGCACCACCAGACGGAGCTACGTTTGGTGGACGTTCAGCAGGCGCTGGTCAAGGCTGGCATGGTCTCACTCCTCACTCCTGCTGCCCCCTCAGGTCGTTCAGAGGCTGGCACCACTGGAGGAGTGGGCATTGCGACTTCGAAGCTCTGGGGCCTCAAAGGACTCGATGATTTGCCTGAGGGTATCGCGGTTCCTCCTGGATGTCGATTTCGTCTGGGGCTCTGGAGTGGGTTATGTACTGGAGGTGTTTTAGTCGGATCGGTTTACCTGCACACTGGAATCGGCTGCCGCGGTCAAAATCTTTCCTTGCTGCACAGTATTGGGGAGGTCCTGAGGGCGTATGGCATGCCGTTTATTCTGGGTGGAGATTTTCAGTTTTCAGCGGAGCAACTGGTCGAGTCTGGTTGGATTGGGGATCTTCAGGCTGAGGTGGTCTCTGACGTCTCGAATTGGACCTGTCAGTTGGGTACGTCTCGGTCGTCCATCGATTACTTTGTCCTCTCCTCCTCGCTCAAGCAGTTTGTGGTGAGCTGCTCAGTTGCGACATGGTCTACCAGTACCAGACCGCACCGCCCTGTGGTGTTGAGCATGTCTGGCCACCCGCGGCAGGTGACAGTTCCCAGGCTCAAGAAGCCGTCGGCGTTCCCTCTCCACCGCCCTGTTGGATGCGACCCTCGCCCCCTGGAGTGGGACGACTTGCGTGATCAGCTCTCCCAGGGGGATTGTACCAAGGACCGTTTGGATGCTGTCACTTCTCTGTGGGTTCAAAGGGCTGAGGTGGCGCTTTCTCGCGTATTTCATGTCGATGGGGATCCACGATACCGAGGCCGAGGAGGCCCCCCCAAGGTGGTGCAAGTCCCTCTGCTCGGCCCCCCTGCCTCCACTCACCCCAGGGCTATTGGGGAGGGCCGTATGTGGCGTGTCTTGGAAAGGCGACTCCAGGACATCGTGTATCTCTGGCATGGGCCTGCGCCCACCTTGGGGGGGATCAAACAAGCGGGGATCCTCTTGCGGAAGCTCGTGAACTACCTGTCCCCCTTCACCGATTGCAAGCATTGGGCTTCTTGGCGAGTTCGGGTTCTGGCCGTCAACCCTGCCAACGTCTCGGAGCTCCAGGAGTTGATCTGGCAGGTCCGAAAGTGGGCCCTTCAGCACGAGCATCATGCGGCCTCGGAGCGGGCCCGAGCCTGGCGTGAGTGGGTTCGAGATGCGTTATCTGGGAGCGCTCGACTGGGCCACCGGTTCACCAAAGAGGTTCCGAAGTGGGCTGCATCTGGGCTCTCTTGTTTCTCGGGGCCGTCTGGTGAGCCTCTGGGGATTGCTGCTGAAGCCGATCTTCGGGCTCAAAAGTGGCATCAGCATTGGGGTGTCGGACAAGTTTTCCCAGAGCCTGATTTTGGTTGGTGCGATGACGAGCCAGAGCTGGAGGCCCCCACCCATGAGGAGCTCTTAGCCCTTACCAGGACCTACAGCACGCACACGGCCATCGGAGTCTGTGGCCTGCATCCCCGTCACTGGTCCTTCCTCGACGACGGCGCTGTCGCGGTTTTCCTTCGGATCTGGGCCGAGATGCAGCGCCTGGTTCACATTCCGAGGTGCTGGGCTCTGCTGCTTATTGCTCTTCTACCGAAGCCGCCGCCTGAAGGGGGAGATCGTCCTATTGGGATCTTCGCGACGCCTCTTCGGTTGTGGTCCCGCTGGGCCCGATGGAAAGTTGCTGGCCCTTGGGAAAAGGCAAACCCTCGCGGGTTCTGGTATGGTGACTCAGGGGCCTCATGTGACATTTGCGTTTGGAAGCAGAGTTTCAAGGCGGAGTTGGCCAGAGACCAGGGCAGAGCGGCAGGGACAACCCTGCTCGACCTGGTCAAAGCATATGAGCACGTGCCCCACCATGTTTTAGCTGCAGCAGCCCGTCGGCACAAGTTCCGAGGTAAGACCCTTCGCTTCCTGCTCGCATCATATTGCCTCGACAGAATGGTGCTCTTCCAGAACATCGCCACGCAGGTGGTGGTGACGCACCGCACGATTGTCGCGGGCTGCAGCTGCGCGACTT